TTTTTAATCAGTCTTTAAAATTATGCATTTTTCACATAAATGAGTAATGCACAAGAATGGTCGCTCGTTCCTTCAAGCGCCTCTTGGACTATCTGTTACCACCTAGGTGATGGGTTTGCATCATGGTTGTGCAGGGCATCCACCATTCCTCTGCTTCACTGACTAGCCAGACAACCTGTGTGATACTTACAGTCGTGTTTCAGCTATCACTGCTGCTCCTGCATTATGCTAGGATGAAGACTGACTGCTTTTCAATTTAGACGTCTGAGGCTGATGTCGTTTGAACTAGTCAAGTTAAACACGATGCAGTGTCACTCTTGAATTGAGCAGCAGTAACTTCTCATGACACTGCCACCTGTCAACACGGTGGCACAAAGTCGCTTATCGAAAGAGGCGGAGTGTGAAATTAGTGGTAGAAGTGAGGATAAAATTGGAGAGTGCTACTTTTAAATAGGTAGTAGGAGGGGCAAGTCCATTCGCTGACGGAGGGGAGATCACGGTGACGGCGGAGGATGAGGTGGAGGAGCTGAGTCGTATTGGTTAAGTCGTAATCACTTTGTTCCTTTTAGATGGTCCATTGCGACTCCACCCAGCCCACTCGTCAGATGTTATAAATAGCGAGATGCCTAAAGTTGGCCTTCTTAGTTAAGCGTGAGGTACTGCAAAGAAGCATTCGGAGGGCTCTGATCTTGTGATATGTAAACGAAAAGCCAAAAATGATGGAATCACCGATCGCAAATCCAGTGCATAGTTCACAAATCATAATCTCTGAATGATTCACCTGACGCGCATGTAACGAAACGCACAACATAGAATAGTTTACATGAAAGTGGAGACAAATGCTTGGTGCGTAGGTTAAAATGCGTGCTATTAAATGCGAGTTGAGGGGGATTTTGTTCATAAGATGGAGTTGATTGGTCAGTGGATCAGTGGGTTGGACGGTAGTTTTTGGGTAGAACATGTTTATGGGCTGTCTTGTACACAGATGTCCAACAGGACCACCCAATAAAGGCAGCCAAAACTCAAGCTTGACTCCCCATTGGCGTCCAAATCTGAGTAGGAGTGGGAAGTCGAGTCCCAGTCGGTGAAGTTAGTCGCTCGTAATAACCGTATTTTAAAGACCATGTCTCTTCTCCTTCGGCCATTTCATCTCTACTTCGAGTCAGCCAGTCAGGAAGGAGAGAGTGAGACCACGACTGGAGCATCTTGTCATTCTTCGGGAGTGAGCAGTCAGGTGTGGATGTCTATAAAATCCGACAGCAACTCTCTTCTGGATTTGGAGGCACCTGCACTGTTGGTATTTACTAATGGGGCAACCAACAATTATGAGGTGAATGTATTCCAGATTGTGTAAACATGGATACTTCGACTGCCTTAAAGCATCACGGCGCCTTAGTCAATACCCAGTAAGCCAATTTTCACTTATGAATTGCCATTGCAGATACGTAAATTTGGAAGAGCACTTGAAGGAGAACACGCATGCCATTCCTTCTGTACTGGAATTATGCAGTGGAGGTGGAAGAGGAGGATGTGGATGTTGGAGAGGAAGGCGATGAGGGATGTGTGGGGAGGGCAGTGGATTGACACCACTTAAGAAGTATATTCAAGGAAGTCAATGGACGGAAGTGGAGCTTACGAGAGAAAGGTGAGAGAGTAGACTTGCCACAGTGCAGCGACCAAAGGAGATGAGCCACTTCCACATCCAAATGACAAATAGGCAAGACGGAGAGCATCGACTCATCGCTTCTCGTCACTTATCACAAAGTGAGAGCATTGGCCAATGAGTGAGGCATGGAAATGCCGGAGAGTAGCCTCCTTGGTTAGAAATGATGACTGAAACAGGCATTTACTTTGAGGTGTTTTGCATCCACAGCATCAACTGCTACTGAAATCAACATCAGTAGGACGGGTGGGTTTGGCAGCCAGAAGTTGTGAATCGCCATGTCTGAAAGTGGTCAGTGTTTAGCAAGAGAATGCGAATAGCACCAAATACACACACCCACACTCCTTGCATCGCGAAATTGATGTTCAGCGGACAAAGTGTTGGAAGCGAGTGATAATGTGGTTGCTGTATGTAGTTCAATGTCAGTCAACTTCTGTGAATACCATCCTGCAGTGTGCAGTTGACAACGGTCAGACCATCTCCAATTTCCCTCCAATCACCATCCACACAGGCTGCCTTACACTGGACTCTACAATTCACACAAAGCCAGTGCAGTCACACCGGTCCTCCAGGTGATATGGTCTCGCAGCTTGACTCTCTCTAAACCACTTGCCTCTCTTGACCACCTCGGCTTTGTGAGCTCACTCTTCCATACGGAGCAGCAGGTGGCAGAATGCGGTAAACCACGAAGAGCATTGCGGCAATTGTCCACGTCCCCTGATGTAGACAAGAAATGAGGCACTACGTTCGTGATTAAGCAAACAATTATCCTTTTTATCTACTACCCACTTGTTCATTTTCGTTTCTTTCCCTTCATTCATCCATTCATTCGTTTTGCTGCTCAAGACATCTTTCCCACCCTTGCATTATTTGGCACCTCGCCCAACACTTCTCTTAAACCATGTAATTCCCTCATTCCTTCATTTTCCCTCTAACTCTCTCTTCCCTCCCTA